AGGTGACGATGTTTTTACAAAGGCAATGACAACATTGCAGAGTCATTTTGCACCAAAGATTAGTGTGGTGGCTGAGAGATATAGATTTCGTCAGCGTGCACAGCTCCCGCACGAATCAGTCGACAATTACATTGCAGCGCTCCGCGAACTGGCTTCACGGTGCGAATTTGGTACGTTTGAGGACGAAATGCTACGAGATCAACTTGGAGTTGCATGGAAAAAAAACTGGTAAAATCCGCATATGTGTTGATTTAAGAAAACCCAATGAAGCTGTTATTGAGGACAAATTTCCTCTTCCTTCAATTGAAGAAATGTTAAGCAAGATGAATGGCGCGACATACTTTTCTAAGCTCGATCTTAAATCAGCTTATTACCAACTGGAATTAGATTCCGACAGTCGCTACCTTACATCATTTATTACGCATGATGGTTTTTTCCGATTTCGTACAGATTGTTTTGGCTTATTTTCAGCCCCTTCATGTTTCTAAAAAATGATGTCGACTGTATTAACAGGAATTCCAAACGTACAATGTTTTATCGATGATATTATTATTTACGGACGCGACAAAGCCGCGCATGATAAAACATTATTTTCAGTGCGTACCTGTTTGAAAGAACGAGGTATGACGATAAATGACAAATGTGAGTTCGGTGTACCTTCAATGAAAGTATTAGGTCATGTTATCGATGACAAAGGTATTCACCCTAGTTTATGGAATTGCTAAAGCTGCAATACCCCAGAATAATCTCTAATCGCAGATTTTTATGCTAGGTTTGTGCCAACTTTTTCGGCAAAAGTAAGCGCATTGCGAGAGGTACAATCCATTGAAACATGTATATGGACAGACAAAGCAAATTCCGCTTTTTAGGATATTAAATCCGATAATATTATTAATAGACCTGGTCTTGCTCTATTCGACCCTGATCTCAAAGTTTTTGTCACGACTGATGCGAGTGGTTATGGGTTAGGAGCGGTACTTACACAGGTAAAGAATGACGGCTCGGAAGTCACAGTTGCTTGCGCGTCTAGAACATTAACTGCACCCGAACGAAATTACTCAGTCGGAGAACTCGAAGCACTTGCTTGTGTTTGGGCTATAGATAGTCGTGATGATCACAGTAGTGACTTTATAGTTTTTCCAACTGCTGATGATTTAATAAACAAACAATTCAACTCAGTTAGGTTCACGTTTCTCAAGGAGTAAAAGAGTTAGAAATCCACCTAGATGGACTCGTGACTATGTTATTGGTACCAGTAAGAAATAGAAGTGTTTATTGTTATAGTAACTGAGTTTACATTGTACCGTATATGGTATACAGTCATTTTTACTGTGATTATAGTTTCTGCATTTAGAGAGGGGGAAATGTGGTGTTATTATTGTTGTCCTGTGTGACAATACCAACGTTGAGGGCAGGAGTTGCCACAGAGAGAGAACCACGAGGAAAGAATTAAATTCTGTTCTATAAGTTATACTGTTTTATTATATTGTCTTTATTACTAGTTTACGAGAACTCAACACCATACATTTCTTTCAATTAATTGTTGTCTGCTTGTTAAATACGATTTGAAGCAATTTATGTTACTAATACTAATTGTCTTTAATTTATTTGTCAAAATTTCAAAATCGACACAATCAAAAACCTTTCTAATATCTAGAATCGTCATACCAGTATACTTTCCTTAAGAAGCCTGTTCAAATTTATAAGGCAGGTCTCCGTGAAGTGTCGCTTTCGAAAACCCGATTGACATTCATTTAAAATGTTATTATCTTTTAGGTAAATTTTAATTTGAGAGCCCACTATACTCTCCGGAACCTTAGATACTGCGTTTAATATGCTGATCGGCCTATAATTACTTTTATGGATTGTTTTAATTTTAGCCAGTTTAAAATCTTCTGGTACTATCCATTGAAAAAGAGAGAGATTGGAAATATGTGCAATACTAGCTTTTATTGTAGCCGCACTGTCTCTCTAGTTCTATCTCAACAGTCTCTTCATCGTCCACAGTAAAATGAAATCTTATTTTATTAATTTTATTTTTATAAAATGTTTAAAACTTTCGGAATTTACATCAGATAATTTTGGAGGGGTTGGTAATTTGGCAAAAAGGGTAGATGTAATAGTAGTAAAGTAATGTTTTAGGTGGTTAGAAACTTCGTTGGAATCGTTACAGACATTACTTTCTAACTTTGGTGCAATATTATTTGTTTTAATTTTACCTTTACCACTTCCCAAACTATTTAGACAATTCCATATTTTTTGTTGTGGTCTTTTTTGTTTGTTTCTAAATAACTTAAAATATAATCAGCCTTATCATTTTTTAAAAATCTTTTTGAATAGCATTTATTAATTGCTTATATTGATCCCAAAGAACAGCATTATTGTTATCCTTATTTAATGCCACTATCTCGTTTTACTAAAAATGTCAGGAGTCATCCACTTTTCTGTATGATGTTTAATACGTACAGTTTTTATTGGAGCAATTTGATCCAGTGTTGATCAGGAAATATCTTTAAAGTACCCATGCAATATACATTATTAAATATTGTGCTAAAATATTTGACCAATACCTAGAGAGTAACATATTATTGATATGTAATATTAAAATACATCAACGTTATATTTTTTAAGTAATTTTATATGTAGTTGTTTATGAGAGACAGTTATTTTTTTATAGTTTTTTTATATGTACACTATGTTGAAAAGTGGTTGCTTAGTCCAACTTCAATAACACCTTGTTTACTTATTTTACTGAAATCACTGACAAGTATAATATGATCGATAATAGATGACGTAGTACTTGTCACTCTTGTAGGGAATTTAATGATTTGCGATAATGATACCAAATTCAGCAAATGATTATATCCTTATATATCTTAAAAGATCTACATAGCCAGTTTATGTTGAGGTCCCCTAAAATAATTTTCTTTTGAGATAGACGAAAGAACTTTACCAAAAAAGTCTACAAATTTGTATTGGCCAGGGGATCAATATACTGTACCGATAACAATCTGTTTAGTCTTTGGCTTTACAATTTCGATGCATACATCTTCGATGTTCTCGTTGTATAAATCAAGTCTGTCGTTATAAATAATATTGTTGCTGATGTAAGTGTTACTTTATGCCTTTTTGATAGCAAAATAAGTGCACCCAATATACTATACCTATATATATAACTATAACACCCAAAACTGATCAATTAGGTATTATTTGGTTATCACTGTGTGAAAATTCTATCTATATGAGGTATATTGAATAAAGATATATTGAAATGATTAATGAATCTTGTATTGTTTTTTTTTTTTTTTTTTTTTTTTAGTTAATGTTTCAGACAACAGTCTAAAGTGTCCAATAATGTATCAGTGTCCAAATTTAAAACTTTTGCGAAACTGTCCATCAATACAACTTATTGCATAACATAGTCCTTTAAGTATCTTGGTTTATGCACTGTTCTTCCATATCTTGTCGTTATTCTACCTTCTGAAATCCTGTTGTGTCTGTGATTGACATTTTCATTTATTACTGTTGGCTATTTCATGACTTCAGCTTCATCAATTTAAGTTATTATCATCTGTTATGTGTTTAAAAGTTTCTTTGGTTTTCCTTAAGAACTTTCTGTTTCTCCTAATCACCCTTCCCGTTTCTGTTTTAACGAAATAGGAACAAGGTGCTACACATTTAAGGACCTCGCCTTTCTGCCAAACATTGTCATAACCATCAGGTTGAATACGTACTATGTCATTAGCGTTTAATTTGGTTAATGCTTTAGCGTTTTTGTTGCAGTGTAAAGGCTTGTTGTTGCTGCTTTTGTTTATGCTGTTGCATTGTTTGTTCGGTGTCATGTATCTTTGGTCTTCCTAGTTGTGGTTTCATTGGCAAAGTTGTTTGTGTTCTACGTTGAAACATACGTTGTGCGGGACTAGTAGTTGTTTTGTAGAATATTGTTGACAGGATGAACATCTTTCTATGTAGTTCTTAATATCTGTAGCCATTCCTGGCCAGTGTAAGATTTCACGAGCTCTTCTCAAGCAACTATCAACACCCATGGGAGATGAATGTAGGCGTTTTAAAATTTCATGTCGTAAGCTTGTTGGAATAACTACTCTTTCTCCACGGAAAATGATACCACTTTTAATGGTTAGTTCATCTCTGAAGCTAAAATAACTCTTGATTGCAGGATCAACTAGAAATTGGTGCTTAGGAAAACCATTTTCAATAGCTTGCTTTAGCATTTGTAAGTGTACATCGTTTACAGTATAATCTCTAACTTCGCTAAAGTCGTTCCTGAGACATTCGTGCTGATTGGAGGAGGTGTACTGAGAGCGTTGCATCTTCTGCTACTTGTGTGTGATCTGATTTGAGATACGTTCTACTTAATGTGTCAGCGATATACATGTGTTTTCCAGGTACATGTGTAATATGAGCATCATATTTTTTTTTTCATATTTATTTTTTTCTTTCTTTGTAATTGCTTTTAGCGGCTTGTGATAAGATTGTATGGTCACAGGTCTGCCATTGGTATACTGATGAATTTTTTCAAGAGACCAAACCACTACCATAACAATCTGCGCATAACGGGTTTCAGCATCTAATAGTGCGCGACTGGCATAAGCTATGGGTTGATCATTTTGCAGCAAACCTGCACCAAGACCTGATTGAGATGCGTCACATTGAATTGTGAGGTCTATATTAGGATCGTAATACTTCAGTACGGGAGTTTTGCTTACTGCTTCTTTATTATCAGTGAGCCCTTTGTCGTGTTCATCAGTCCAGAAGAAATCAACATCAAGATGAGTAAGTTTGCGAAGTGGCTCACATAACTCACTAAGATGTGGAAGGAATCTGCTTAAATATTGAACAAATCCAAATATTCTTGTGACCCCAGTTTTATCAGTAGGTGTTGGCATATTGGTTATCGCTTCAACTTAAGAGCTGTCAACCTTAAGACCATCTGCAGTAATGATTTGTACAATAAACTCTACTTCTGTAAGTCCAAGTTTTTATTTATGCTTGTTCAGTTTCAGATCCACTGCTGTGGCGCGTTTCATAAGATTTGCGAGATTCTTATTGTGATTGCATATAACATCTTCCATCGTGTCACCTGTACCAATGACTAAAATATCATCAACTATCGTTTTAACACCTTCAAGATTCTGTAGTGATTGATCTTGACTTCTTTGGTATTCTTCACTAGCTGAGATTAATCCAAATGGTAAGCGAAGATATCTATATCGACCAAATGGAGAATTAAATGTGGTTAGTCGTGAGCTTTTCTTAGTTAGCTTTATTTGACAGTAACCATCTTTTGCAAGTACGCAAAAAATCTTAGCATTGTGCATATGAGGCAGAATATCATCGATGGTTGGCATTCGATAGTGGCGACGTTTGATTACTTTATTTAAATCTCTGGGATCTAAGCATACACGAGTTTTGTTTGGTCTGTCAACGACTACAATACTGTTGACCCATGGTGTTGCTTCGTCTGTAACAGGTTGAATGACTCCTGTGTGCTCTAGTCTATCAAGCTCTGTTTTAAGTTTATCCTTTAATGCTATTGGTACTTTTCTTGGAGGATGAATGATAGGGTGTGCATCAACTGAGATATCAATGTCATATTATCCTGGCAAAGAGCATAATCCTTGAAAGACATCAGGATAAAGCGCGATCTACAAATTATCCCCAACGACAGAAACGCGTCTGGGAAAACCATGTATTACAAACGCGTCTGGGAAAGCGATCGTCTAATTATCGTGCCTCATGAATATTAATAAGCTAGTCGGAATATG